AAATAAGCTCATCTCTTTTGTAGGCAGAATAATATCTTTAAATTTGTCTATTTGGTCAAGTTTAATAAAATACTTTCTAATACTTACCTTCCTACTGTATATAGAAGTAATTTCATTAACAAAAAAAAATGTTTTTATGAATTTCTCAGAAATTTGTTTTATTGAATTTATTTATTGTTTTGTTTTTTTTTTCATCAGAAAAATTGTTTTGCATTTTTTTGTATGTATATGTTGTTTTAAATATTGTGTTTGTTTTTTGCTTGGTATTTATTTATTATCAATATAATTTAATTGATTTATGTTTTTTGTCCATTTTTATTTTTATTTGTTTTTTATTAGGTCACAAGCTAGGATTTATTTATTAATTAGTAATATATTTATTTGTTTACTTTTTGATCGACACTGCCGCCTTCTTCACAAATTCATAAAGTATCATCATGAGGTGTACATTTGATTTTCTTTTTCAAGTTTATTTGTGGAAGAATTTCAAATTGAATAAATGTTTGTTGGCGTTTTTAATTTCCACATTTTGCATTTGGTGATTAATTCGGGGATTAATTTCTCGAACTACGTGGTTTCGGTTTTAAGTTTGACACCAGTCGGGTTTGCCGACAGTTGTATATCCCCAGCCTTGAGTTATGATTATTCTAACTGTTTCCTCTTTATGGGGAGGTTCTGAAGCAGTTGGCCAATATTGTCCACTTTGTATCTGACTTTAGTCTGAATTAAATATTGAGCGTTTTATGAGCTTCATGGATACTCATAATGTTAATACTTTGTGGGGGATATACCACAAGGAGTCGACCGATATATTTCATCTTCACACCAGACCTTGGGTTAATAAAAATATTGTGGTGTGTGTAATTTGAAAACAACCAGACCCTTACATCATATTTTATAAGAGTTATAATTGTTCAAAATTTTGAACCTTTGTGGGGGAGGTACTTGATGGAGTGGACTGATATCCATTTTTGCACCTGACCTAGAACTGATGTAAATAAAATGTTTTTCAAAGTTGGAGAAAATTTGGATTATCCTTTCTCTATATGTGCAGAAATATATTGTCCTTGAAAATGTCGACCTTTTGTGGGAAAGGTACCAGAAGAAGTGGACCGATATTTCCCATCTCCGAACTCGATCTAAGTTTGATAATAATATTACGATGTAGCAAGTTTGGACTAAATCGGATACTCCTTTCGAGAGTTGTCGTGCGTACCAGCCGGACGGACGGACATCGCTTGATCGACTTCAAATGTCCTGAAACGGATTTGGCCCAAAAAGACCTAGGGTCTAAACCGTTAGTTCGATGAGGCACCTTTTGACCGTATCAAACGATATACCCTCTCTAGCCATTACGAACTTCAAATAGCAAATTTTAAGCAATTCCGATGAATAATGTCGCTAAAATCATCAAAATACCGAATATCGGGAGGTACCGTTATATGGGGGCTATACCAAAACATGGACCTGCACGGACAATTTTCTGTCTTAGGCTGTAGTATCCATTTCGAACTTCATATGCCAAATTCGAAACAATTCCGGTGAATAATGTCGCTAAAATCATCAAAATACCGAATATCGGGAGGTACCGTTATATGACGGCTATACCAAAACGAGGACCTACATGGCCCATTTTCAATACCAAAAGTCCTGCATACATAATATACATTTCAGTAAAATTTTATCAATCTACTTCATTTCGTTCGGAGCTAGAGTAATTTCCACAGACGGACGGACATCGCTAAATCGACATAGAATTTTATGCTGCTCAAGAATATATATACTTTGTGGGGTCTAAAATGTATAATTTGAGGTGTTACAAACGGAATGACAAACTTTATATATCCTCCTTACTTTGGTGGAGGGTATAAAAAATCGCTGAAAATATTGACCGTGACTAAATTATTCACACTAGGTTCAGACAAACCTTTCGGGAAAACACGAGCAAATAATTAAACCATGAACTTTGCAATATTTCAAAACTCTTTCTCTATCGTAAATTTCATCAGATGCACAGGAAAAAATCTAATGAGTGCTCCGAAACACGCGGCAAGACGCGAAATATTCTAAAGTTGCCATGAGGCAAGCTTTCGGCCGTATCAACTACTGCATAGCCTCTGAATACATGAGGTTGAGGATACAAAACTACAGCGAATGTTCATGCCATCGAATAACATTTGTTGGCCAATTATTTATGATTTTTACGAAAATCTCCATCAAATATTTTTAGGATTTTTTTTGGAATACAGTAATAATAATAAGGCATTAAAAATTCAGGATTTAAAATAATAAATAAAATTAAAAAAATAAATGTACAAAAATAAAATAATGTAATAATTATCAGGTAACAAATATTAAGGTGAATAAATCAGGTTTTTAGTTTAGTATTGTTTCCATAATGATATAAAATATATTAAATGTAAATATATATAAATTTTTTGTTCTAAGTTTAAGGTAATCATCAGATAGGTAAAATAAATTAGTTAGTTATTGCGCAAGCTTAAAATCACATATTAATTAATTTATTTTTTAGTTTTGTCCATAACTTCACTTTCATTTATTTTAACTTTTTTTCTAATCTGGTATTTAATTGTTGATAAAAATATTTAAAAATCATTCATTTTTTTAAAAACATAAATAAATATTTCTTAAAGGGTTAAAAATTGATTTAAGATCAAAAAAAGCTTTATAGCTTCCTGGGAATGGTATTGAGTGGTATCTGAGTTGTATTTTAAAATATAAATATTGAGTGAATAGTTGGGTTTCTGTTAAAATAAATACATATATTTGTTTATATTTGTATACTATTTAGACTGAGTAAATAACATAAATTCTATTTTTATTTAATGTAAAATTAAAAGGTTGCATTTTATGACAGTATCTTCTTTCGTGTTTTATAAGTATTTGATCAGACTTGAATCAAAATAAATGAATAGATAAGTTAATACATAGAAATCTTTTTGGCAATCAAGTATCTGTTTCTGTGTGTCGATACGAAAGAAAATGCCAAAAAAATAAAATAATACAAATAAATGTGCAGATACATAAAAGTATTTTTTTACTGGGTTTTAGGTAGACATAGTTCAGTTCCGGGCTATAATTTATGCTTGTTCGCCCCTACGCCTTCCAGCCGATGACTTATACCAGTAAAAACCTTTGAAGGTGATGATACATGACATGGCATATTAAAGTCAGATTATAAGAAACAAATAAAAAAGCCGTAAGTTCGTCCGGGCCGAACTTTGAATACCCTCTACTATTGGAACAAGTTTGGCAATTATCAAAAAAAAAAATAAATAAATAAATAAAATGATTTAAAGATTCTGTTAAAATTTCAAAAAAACAGAATACAGCCGTTATATACGAAGACGTGGACCTGCATAAACTATTTTCTGTCATAGACTGTACCTTCCATTACGAACTCTAAATACGAAATTTGAAACCATCCAGTGAATAATGTCCCTAAAATCATTTAAAATATATCTATCGTATCGTATATCGTAGACCTATATAGACATTTCTTTTCCAGGGAGTAAAATACTAAAATGAAACCCCTTGTTTTAATTTTCAGACAGTTTCATTGAAAAATGTGGCTAAAATCATCAAAATACCGAATATCGGGAGGTACAGTAATATGGGGGCTAAACGATATCGTGGACCTATATAGACAATTCTCTTCCAGGGGGTAAAGTAGTCACGAAGAACTCCTTGTGTGGATTTTCAGACAATTCCGTTGGAAAATGTGTCTAAAATCATCAAATTGCCGAATATCGGGGGGTACCGTTGTTTGGGGGCTATACGATGTCGTGGATCGATATAGCCCATCTTTGAACTTGGCCTGCATGCAGACAAAAGACCGATCTGTGCAAAATATTAGCTTCCTATCTTTATTCGTTTTGACTCTAGCGTCATTACAAAAGACGAACTAAATCGTCTTAGAATTTTACGCTGATCAAGAATATACAGGGTGAGATGAAAACACTGCAACCAACTTCAGACTACTGTCCATTCCAAGCCACTCGTCCGATACCTGTTGAAATTATTCCACTGACAGCTCATTATATTGTTTACAAGTGTACAAAAGCATTTTGGTGAGAATTTTCCAGAAAAAAAGTTATTCGTGATAGAATTCAAGCGTGATAGTGTGATTTCTTTATATTTAGCTGGAAAAACACAAGTGACAATCGTTAGAGCTCTCCAGCATTTAAATGTGAAATAAATAAAATTTAACAAAAAAATTTAAAAATTATGCCGTTTGACTTTGTTGCAGTTTTTATCTCACCCTGTATATGCTTTGTTAGATCTAAAATTATTATTTCGATGAGTTACAAACGGAATGACGACTTTAATATACCCTCCATGCTATGTGTGGTGTAGGGTATAAAAATAACGACAAGATTGAAGTGTGGCACTGACATCCCATTTGATTGTTACCACTTTGATGCCAAGCTTCTTATGTATCTGCATTTTACATTTTTCATTTTTTTTTTTTGCGTTAAATTTTACATTTAACAACACATTTGGAAGGGTATTTTACTTTCAAATCCATTGTCTCATTTCGTCACACAGAAACAGATTCTAAAATATTTATAAAAAGTACGTAAATATTAATTAAAATAAATAAAAAAGTTGTCATGATAACAAAGCTTATTTTCAAAATAATATGACAAATTGTATAAATCTTAATTAAAAATAAAAAAATAAAATAAAATATTTTAAATAAAATTTTATAAAGATAATAATTTCATTTAATTTTAATTAGATTTAAAACAATATTTGTGTATTTTTATGAAAGATAGTCGATGAGTCTTCCAAAGGACAATTGCTTAGTTTGATTTTTTGGAAATCCTATTGATTTAAACTCTTCTTTTCTAAGGGGTTTTTTTTTACATTAAAATAAATTATGTTTGAAAAATAAAACACAAATTCTTGGATGGATTCAAATCGAAAACCAATGTTTTTAACATACATTTGTTCTGGTATTAATTAATAATTCTAAATGCATTTTGGAAAATCATTTCGGTTTTATTGAACGTTATGCCATTGGAATGGTGTATTGGTATAAAGGATTCTTATGTTTCGGTTCACAGTTTTGTTGGAATGTATTATTGTTTTGTTTTTTCTATACTAGTTTTGATTTGGTTCAATTAGTATGTTTATGTGGATTTGTTATTAATAAATTCTATTAATTTATCTATTATTTAACTGTAGTCTACTTGCAAACGCTGAATTTTAACAAAATGCCAGCAATATTTCCATGATAGTTAATTTTGTGAAGTAATAATAAAAAAACAGTGAAGGAAATCTTAGAGTCGGGCGTGGCCCACCACTTTGAATATTTAGTAGAGGTTCACATAACAAAAAATAGTTTTTATGGGGAATTTGTGAGAATTAAATCATACCAACATGTGTCCCTTTTTAATTCGGGCTTGTATCACCCCTTTGGTGCACAATTAACTTAAAATCGGATAAAGATATATATGGGAACTATATCCAAATCTGGACCGATCTCGACAAAAATTTAGCAAAGGTATTTCTTAGCCGTATTTGATATATTTCCCTAAATATTGTTGTTGCCGAGTGCATATTACGGCTGCGGGCGACAAAAATAACAAATCGGATGAACTATATATATGGGAGCTATAGGCATATCTGAACCGAATACGATCAAATTTTGTATATTTATTTTCAGGCCCAATTCGGTCGTATGTGCAAAATTTTATACTATTCGGTACACATTTGGTGCACAATCGGACGATAATATGTACTCTTCTATGGAGTAGGGTTTAAAAATACGATATTCCCAAAAAGGGTATTTTTGGTCTTTGAATAGATGTTTCTATCGACTGAATGAGAAGTGCAGAAACGTAGACTCACGGCACATTGTAAACTGTCGCAAGGAAGTTGATACGATCTAGTAATCATTCAAATCAGTAATCAAATCAGTTACCATTACGTCGTTAAATCTTTTTTCTCCAGTGTACAATGTTCAGTGTTCAATCAAAAAGATCTCAATAAAATTTCAAATATCTCAGATAGTCAAAAACTATATTAAAGCCTTAACAACATTTGACCTAAGAAACCACTACTCCTTTGGAGTTTTGATATACAAAGAAACATTAGAAAGTCCAATTGGAATTTTCTACAACCCCAACTGGCTACTGCACTTGGAATTTTCTACAACTCCGACTGTCAATTTTACAGTGAAATTATGAGAAAATTTTCAAGGAATTAGAAAAATGGCTAGATTTTTCAAAAAATCAACAAGGTTTTTTTAAACAAAAATTGATGATATATTTTTTCATGGTACATATTGAATATACGAATTTCTTTTGTTCAGAGACTCACAATGAAATTTGATCAAGAATTATTGTTCCTTTGACACTTTTGGCAAAAAATGATGCATAAAAGGAGATTTTAACTGAAATTAGGAACCCGTTAAAATAACTGTAAAAACCAAACATATACTTTTCACTTTTAGTACATAAATGTTGAATGTAATTTTATTGTATTGTATTGTATTTAGATATATGGTTTGTTCCGAGACTTATAGTGAAATTTTGTGTAGAATATTTCTTCTTTTGACACCTTACGTCTAAAACGTAAACGTAAACTTTCAGGCATCAACTCAAAAAATAGGCCGAGAAAAAAAATTATCTAAAAAAATTAGAATTTTTTTTTGAAACTTTGATCCACATTTTTTTATGCAATGGAAGTAGAAGTTTCTTTTCTTTAGTGACTTTTCTTATGAATATTTATTTTTTCGACGTAATAATTCAAATGTGATGATTTGTAGGAGATTTTTGCATAAACTCACAAAAGTACGGCTTTAACCTTAAAAAGTGTTTTTAATGTATATGAATTCCTGGCGTTTAGATAAGATTTAAACTTTTGAGGTCTTCTAGGACCTAGAGTAAAATTTTATGACTAATAAATTTGTAGAATATTTTGACTTGCTACGATATCGTTTGAAAGGAGTTTTTAACAAATTTTCGAAAGAGGGAAATTGTTAATTTGGCCCTTTTTCAAAACTCGTTTGCGGATTAAAATTTCGACCAAAATAATTCTGGTGTTTTTGTTTGCAATATTGCCCATAACACTATATACTATATACCGATAATCAAAGGATTCCAAGGAATCTTAATCTGAAAATTTCCAAAATGTGGAAGAAAACAATACTAGACACAGCTTGCAATCAAAAAAACTAGTGTATCGTTATTTGTAATTGAAAACGTCCTGGGTCTTATATATAAAGCATAATGCAAGCATTTAGACCACTGCTCAATACGACTTTGGACATAATTATAAATAATATACTAACACATGATCCCATTTTACCATGGAAATATTGCAGGCATTTATGTCAAGAGTAACTATGGACCATTTTGTGATTTTTGTTTCGATAATAGGGAATGTATATGTAAATAACGATTGTTGTTGTTATAATTATTATTATATTAAATATTACTTGTTAATATCACTTACAAATCTAATGACTAAAAAGACAAGAATATGTTAAGGCAACAAATAAATATTAAAACATTAAAAAAAATCAAAACGGCAGAATAAATCATTTGAGTACATAGTAAATGGGTGGATAGATGCAATACTAGCAATGCAATATCAATTAACTGGCAAAAAATATCAATTGATTGACTCGAATCAATTAACTACATACTAACATTTATCTAATGCTACATAGACAGGGGACAAGGGAGGTCGGTCTCCGTCATACGGCGTCATAATTATTAACATTCTATTTTTTTAAATAAATAATGGCCAACTATAATTCGAATATGAAAATAAATTAAATATCTTATAAAAATATTATTACAAAATAAATAACTAAACTAAATAAATTGCTTAACTACATGACGCACACATACACGCACACAGACAAAAACCGGCACACTTAAAACATTTGTAATAATTATTATAACAGATATTTGAAAAATATCACGATTTTCTTTTGCTACTGACATCCGTTTTTTCTTTCGTTTCCTTCCATCATCACATTGCTTTCTACTCAATACCAAAGGTATTTGTCTCCTCAACAGCCAATAACAGTTTTTCATACAGCAATTCTGGTGTGGGATATGGTGGTAAGTCTAGACGATTGAAACATGTGTGAGCTCGTGGCAAGGCATTTGGTTTACCCCATTTCTCAATGCAAAAACGTCGGGGACCCGTTGAACCGCGCAAGGCCGAAAAACCTTCATACGGTATGCTGGAGGTACCAGTGACAAATTGTAATAAACGCAAACGTTGCTCGTTTGTAAACTTCTCAATGACCTGCCAGAACCATATGATAACCTGATGATTATCATGATAACCGGAACGATATTCCGTATTAAGGCGCCAGTCGTTTATGTCAATTTCTGCCGTACCGGCTATTACCAATTCCAATTCACGCGCATCGAATACCGACACCAGACGAGAATCAACGACTTCATAGAAGCCACGTACCAACGATTCTGTCTGCTCCTGGACACCACGTTCCAAACGCCATTTGATCATACGCTCCAAGTACTCCTTTTTGTTTTTCTCATTCACAATAATATTCTTGCCGCCCGGTTTCAATTCCCGTTCCACAACTCGTCCCAACAACTCTTCGGTCACACAGAATGTCAGGCCCAAATCAATACCCGTACCAATGTCATTATCACGTATCCATTGCAGGGATTGATGGAACTCATTATCCAATGATTCTAAATCACTTAAAGCTACCGGAAGTCTTAGTAAAGCCTTGTAAAATGGCCTCGTAAAGAAGGCATCCAATAAATATTGATGAACTAAAGCTAAGCCCAGGACACGACCGCTAAAACGGAACCAATCGTGACAATTATCGACAAAGGCTGAAAGTGGTGACACTTGTACCGTATAGGTGTCATTGGCTGAATATTCAAAGAGGCCGTAGTAGGGATTGAACAGTTCACGGGATAGCAAAAAGAAGAATTCTCTGTAAATAAATCAGGAGAGAGAGGTGATTAATAAAATGCAAATAAAATGGTTTTGAAATGAAAAGTTACCTTGAGGGACCACCATAGTCCAGACCCTCTTCCGTATCCCATAGCACAGCTAAACGTCCTCTTTGTAAGTCTTTTTTGTTGGCAGACATAATACGACGGAAGGCATCTTCTAATAAGTGGGTACGTCGTATTTGTAATCTGAAAAAAAAAATAATATTAAAAAAATATAAATAATAAAAATTAAAATTGTTTATTTTGAAAATAATTTTTAATGAAGAAAAAGGATTTTAAAAGAATATTTGAAAGACGGTCAGAACTTGCAACCTTGGTAATTTCAAAAGAGCGGTTAGGAAATTCTGTATGTATGGGATTATTGGTTGGTGGATTTTTATTAGGGAAAAGCTGGAATAATTCAAAAATAATTCTGAAAGGACCATCAAAAGCTTTCCTGTCAGAATATTCAAGAAATTTGTGAATGGCAATCACGGGCAGTAATACAGGAATTTTTATAAGGGACCATCAGAAACGAATTTTTGATGGGACCTGACTAAAAAGCTGAACTTGAGAATTTATATATCAAAATTTTAAAGAAGACTGACGACCAAGAAATGCACTGATGAATTTTTAAGCAGTTTTTAATAGAGCTATACCCGTGTATTTGGAAATCTATTTTAAAGAATTTTTGGAGGACCATCAGGTGCTATACTCGTTAATTTTTATAATGAATATTTAAAGTCCTCGTGAGATAAATTATTTTGAGTAATTTTTGAAGGAGGACATTTTCAATAATCGTGGATTTTTAGGGAATTTTTGGACCAGTGGGACTTATGGAAGCGATTTTTAAAATTTTTTTAAGGACATTCGGGCGCTGTACTCGTGGATATTTATAAAGGATTTTTGAAGAAGCATAATCTAAGCTTTTTGTAAGGATTTTTTTGAAGCATCAGTGAGACTATTTTCGTAAATTTTTATGAACAATTTCAGAAGGACCCATGAAAGAATAGTGGAACAAACAACGGTGGACCTTTAACGGAATTTATGAAGCACCATCAGGGGTTGAACTTGTGGATTTTTATAAGGGATTCTGAAGGACAATAAGAAACCTTATTCCTGAAATTTTATTAAACAATTTGAATTCGTGGATTTTTATAAAGGATTCTGAAGGACAATAAGAAACCTTATTACTGAAATTTTATTAAACAATTTTACAAGAATTTGAATAAGGAATGTTTAATTGTGTATTTAAATAAGGAATGTTGAGTTTTTATTAGAATTTTTTAAGATCATCGGTACATTACTCGTGGATTTTATAAAGGACCTGTGAGAGTAGTAGCCCGGGATTTGTAACGATTTTTAAAAAGAGAAATGTTCCGGGGAACAAAAGGACCTACATTTATAGTTTTTTATTTGGAATTTTTAAAAGAGCAATAGGAGCAATTTACGCGGATTTTTATAAGAAATTTCGGAAAACACATCAAAACAACACATCAAAATTTTATAAGAAATTTTTGGAAATCAATAAGAAAATTTTGTCACGGATATGCTGTCCCGAGTGTATATAAAGGATCTATCAGGAGCTGTACTCGAACTGAAGGAAGGGAAGGAGGGCAACAATTTGAATAATCATAACAGAAGTCGAAATATATTTAAATAATCGAAAATTTACTGAGGGGGTATATATCTGTCGGCAAACCCGACTGATCATTATGCAAATAAGGGTTAAGGGTTTAATGAGCCATTATCATTGGAGGTCCTAGCTGCTTGAGACTTAGAAGTTATAATTATAAAGATTATTTTTGAGGGTTCTTAATTTATTTCCGAGGGGCCTTAAATGCCTATAATCGTGGCCCAGCTAAAATCAATAATTTTAATAATACTTTTGAGGGAATAACAGAAACTATATTCATAGATTTTTAAGAAGATGCGATAATAATAAAATTTTGAAAAGTTTAAGAGAACCAAAGTTATAGAAATGGATTCTTATATGTTCTTAAAACCTTAATTTTTTGGAATAATTATTCTTAGGACTAATTAGAATCTAATAGGCTGAAATTCTGAAAATATTCTTAGAATTTAAAATCGTGAAATATTTGCCAAAACTATGATCATATACTTACTTTAATTTATGTGGTCCTTGACCATATCCTTTTGATTCTAATTTCCTATAGAAACTTCTCAGTTTGGCCTCGAAGTCACGCCGGAATGGTGGCGGAGCTCGTTGCAGCATGCGAGAATTGAGCACTGGTGAGCCTTGGGGACTGCGTTCTTCGATGGGCACATAGCTCATAATCTCCTGTTCGAAAAGGCTGAAAAGATAAAAAACGAGAAATATATTATTAATATTAAGAAGTATTTTTATGACCTTTAATATTCTCTAAATTAACCAAGCCCCATTTGTTAGCATCCCAAAATTGAAGTCATAGCACATTTTTCCTCTACATCATTTGCCCAATAATAAAAATAAAACAACAGCAAAAAAACGTGCGAGCGGCAATTATCCAAGTTGTTTATTTATAAAAGCCACCACAACGATGATGCTATCGAAATGATTCAGATTTACAATCCTATCATTTTGTGGCAAAATATTAATAACTTTTATGATATCACATACATTTCGAGAGATTACCACGTTGGCATGGCCGGCATGTAAATTACTTTTATATTGTCATGATAAGTGTTCTAATTAATTATAGTTTTATAAATAATAAATAAAAGCGAGGTTTTCAACCACACAATATTTTTATTCTGATTGATAAAGCAATCTATATCTATACTCAATAAATGTGATATATTTCTATGTATTGAAAACGGTCCATAAGTATTCTTTTTTGATGAGATCTTCTACGCGTATTCTTTGTTGAAGATAATTGGAAGCTATGATCGTATATTTTATAAGAGTAACAAATCTTAAAGAAATATTTTTTAAAGAGCGTCAGCCAAAAGCTATTATCCTAGATTTTTGTATATTTCAAAACATATTTTTATAGACCTTCATTTAAAAATAATGTAAGATTTTTGATTCCAGTCTTTGAAGAAAAATCAAAAATAGAATCCACGATTGTGGCTTTTGAATTCATTTGAATGAATTGAATTTTTTACGGCCTTTTCGAAAGGCCATCAGAAGCTGCCCTCGTCTAATTCTATAAGGGCTTTTTGAATGACTCTTGGGACTAATAATAATGAAGCGAGTTTTGAATTGAATGACACGTGGGACTAACAGCTTTGGATTTTTAAGAGTATTTTTGACAGACTATCATCAGCAATGAAAGGGATTTGGTATTAGAACTGTGGAGGGACATTCAGAAGCTGGATTTCAAAGAACTATCAGAAGCATTCCTCATCGGGTTTTTTTCCAAGCTATTTGTAAAGTACTGTTGGAAGCTACATTAATCGATTTCTATTACAAAATCGACCATTAGGGTTTTTACGGAAATGTTTAAATTGAAAAATCCACGATTCCATAAAAATTATTTACAAAAAATCATCGATCATCGGCAAAAAAATTCCCTTAAAAATTCGCTATTTGAAAATCAAGATTTTTGGTGTTTATTTATTTATTATTTAAAAAATCTACGATTCTTGGTCAGGAAGTCATTTAAATACACCTAGGAATTTAAGAAAGACAATTTTGCCCTTGAAAATTATTTAAAAATCCATAACTTTTTGATTTTGGTCATTCAAAATAATTTAAAAAAAAAAACCAAAGTTCTTGGCCAGAAGTCCTTAAAAATTGTACGTATCGTAGAAATTATTTTCTTCTGGAAATTAATTTAAAAAATCATCGATTCTTGTCTAAGAAATTCCTTTAAAAAACCCCAGCATTCATCCTTAAGAAATCCACATGTTTAGTCTTTAGAAACTAAAATTAAACCCACAATTTTTAGTCCTTAAACATTATTTGCAAAAAATCACCGGTCCTTGGCCAAAAATGTAAGGTTCTTGGTCAAAAAAAAAAGTAAATATTTTTGGTGTTTAATTTTTTTTTTTAAATCTACGATTCTTGGTCAGGAAGACATTTGAATAATCCTAGGAATTTTAGAGAGACCATTTTGTACTTGACATTTGTTTCAAAAATCTACAATTTTTGAATTTGGTCATTGTATTTTCAATTTTTAAAAAATCAAAGTTCTTGGCCAGAATTCTCTAAAAAATTGCACGTATCGTGGACAAAAAATTTTCTTCTGGAAATTAATTCTAAAAAAGCGACAATTCCTTTTAAAAACTCCCAGCATTCTCGGACAGGAGGAAGTTTCTTAAAAAAATCCACGATTCGTAGCTGGAAAAGCTTATAAAAAATTCACATTTTAATTCAAAATTTCTTAAAAATTCACGGTTTTTGTTTTTTTTTTTTTGAAAATTAATTAAAAAAATAAATTCCTTTAAAAAATCAGGATTTTTGGTCTTTGAAATTTATTTTTAAAAATATACGATTTTTGGTCAAGAATAAAAATAAAAAATCCTCGATTCTCGGCCAAGAAGTACTTTAAACCTTTTTGGGCTTAGCAAGAACGAAAATTGCTTCTACAAAATCAAGAGTCCTTTTTGAAATAAATTTCCGTTCCTTGGCTAGAGAGACCTTGATTTGACAGCCATATTAGTATGTTAAAAAATTAGACCAAATAGGAAATGTCGTTCGGAAATCATGAATCTCACATAATATTCGTGAGTTTTCAAAAAGTTTACATATTTTACAAAATTCTGATCTTCCCATTATTGGTATCGTCAAGCATTGTTGTGCACACAAGCCAGTCAGAAACATGGAATCTTAAAACTGTTTCTAAGAGGAATATTAAATATACCCTCTGTAGCTATATTTCAAAGGACACATATTTTCATAGATATGCTATTTTGTAAGAACACTTCACATCAATTATAAAAAGTCATATGGAAATTCTAGGTCTCCTATATAAAACTGATCTCTTGAAGTCTATATAGAATATCTTTACATATTGGAAAATAAATCTGAAAGAAGTTTATATGTAAAGAAGACCTATGGAGGAGTGTATATTCATAGTATGGCAACATGTCGACCGGTCTAGCCAAATTTTTCACTTTTTTACCATGGTAGCTGGCCATTGTATAAAATTTCAGTTTGTATAAAATTTCAAATATTCTTTTTTGCTTTCAAAGAACAGCAACTTCAAAAATTATATTACGTTTGGTTAATTGGTTGTGTTTTTTTTTTTTTTTGTTTTTATGAGTGTTGTTTTATTTTCAATGTTAATTGTGCCAAAATGAAACGTTACTAGTTCACGTGCAGTATGGTTTGTTCTGACTCATAAATATCATTAAACACAATTAAATGGTACAAATAATCCGAAATATATTAACATGTGTATGTGTATAACAACTAAATAATATATTTAATTTTTTTGGTAATTAATATTTATTACTGTGAAAAAGTAAATAGGGAATTTAGGTGTTAGCCAAATTGTTGCCATAAAACTATTAATTGCATTTGTATTGGCATTGGCCTCTGCTGTTAACAACAAATACGAAATACATTTAATTGATTTTTTAACGGCGCTTTATTAAAATAATTATAGATTTGCACCCAGTATGTTCTGCGGTGTTTGTTTTCCTTATTTCAAAAACTGATCGATTGATTGATTACATTTTAAATGTTCTAAATGTATTTCAAATAATTTAGTAGTCAATCTTTCTCTAACAACTAAACGTAATATTTGAGGTTATATATATTTGATAAGAGAAAATCAACAGATATGTCACAAGGAGATCAGTAAACCTACTAACAAGTTAAAAAATTATCAGTCGGTTTTACCGACAGGTGTATACCCTCAGCCAATGTTCGATTAGTTAAATATATTTTGACTTCTGTTACGATTATTCAAATTGTTGGCCCTCTATGGAGTAGGTTCCGAAGGAATGAACCAAATATGTCCATTTCGTATCAGACCTAAATGAATATGATTTCAATATTGCGACGTGCCAGGTTTAGACTAGATTGGTTACTTCCTTCACTTTAAATGAGATATATGATAATTTTTAGAAAATGTTATATATGCGTGAGGTACCAAATATAGTCGACCGAAATATTCCATTTTCACACTTCATCTAATACGTGTAAAATTATTGTAATGGAAAAAATGACAAAAAAATCTAACATTTATATTGAATTTTATGCGAAATCATGAAATCCATATTCAAATATTTAGATATAGCAAGTTGTAAAGAATCGCTGACTTGTTTCGCAAGTTATGACAGATAAAATAATTGAAAATTGTTATCGTTTGTGGGTAAGGTTCCCGAAGGGGTTTGCAGTTTTATATCTTCAACACAGATCTTGTGTTAGCAAAAATGTTTGTGAGTGGGAAATTTGAAGAGAGTTTGATATTTATTTCGCATTCTATGAGCGTTTTGTTTTTCAAAATCTTGAACCCTACGTGGGAAAGGTACCAGAAGGATTGGTCCGATCTCTACCATCTTTATAAAAGATATTTCGTTGATGGAAATATTGAGATGTTCGCGATGAATGAACTTCATGGATGTTTAAAATTTTGACCCTTTTGTGGGGGAGGTACCACAAGGAGTGGCCCGATATATTCCATCATCACACCAGACCTTGGGTTAATAAAAATATCACGATGTGTTTAATTTGTAGAGTGAGTGCCCACATCACATTTTATAAGAGTTATAATTATTTAAAATTTTGACCCTCTGTGGGGGAGGTATTTGATGGAGTTGACCGACATTGCCTATCTGGCCTAGAACTGATGTAAATATTAGGATTTGCAGTAAATAATTTTCTTTGAAAATTTCGTCCTTTTGTGGGAGAGGTAGCAGAAGGGGTGGGCCGATATTGCTCATCTCTGAACTCGATCTAAGTGATATTGATATTATGATGTACCAAGTTTGGACCAAATCGGATACTCCCTTCGAAAGTTATCGTGCTCACCAGCCACACAGATGGACGGACGGAAATCGCTAGCTCGACCCCAAATGTCCTGAAACAGATTTGGATTCAAAATTTCGAACTTTTGTGGGAGAGGTACCAGAAGGAGTGGACCGATATTGCCCATCTCCGAACTCGATCTAAATTTAATAATAATATTGCAATGTACCAAGTTTGTACAAAATCAGATACTCCCTTGGAGAGTTATCGTGCGCACCAACCAGACAGACGGACGGACATCGCTAGATCGGCTCCAAATGTCCTGAAACGGATTTGGTCCTAAGAGATCTAGGGTTAAAAACCGTTATTTCGATGAGGTACGTTTTGGCCCTATCAAATGATATATATCCTCTGTAGCCATATGGCTGTGGGTATAAAAATTAAATACTTTGT